TGACTTAAAAGGTCCTTCGGGGCATTTTCCTTAGCTTCGAAAATAGTCTACTTATACACCAGTATTGTGTGTGTGTGTGTGTGTGTGTACTCACCTATTTGTGGTTGCAGGGGTCGAGTCCTAGCTCCTGGCCCCGCCTCTTCACCGGTTGCTACTAGGCCCTCTCTCTCCCCGCTCCATGAGCTTTATCAAACCTCGTCTTAAAACTGTGTATGGTTCCTGCCTCCACTACGTCATTTTCTAGGCTATTCCACTGCCTTACAACTCTATGACTGAAGAAATACTTCCTACTATCTCTCTGACTCATTTGTGTCTTCAACTTCCAATTGTGGCCTCTTGTTTTTTTGGGTGTCCCCTCCCTGGAACATCCTGTCTTTGTCCACCTTGTCTATTCCACGCAGAAATTTTATATGTCGTTATCATGTCTCCCTGACCCTCCTGTCCTCCAGTGTGGTCAGGCCGATTTCCCTTAATCTTTCCTCATAGGACATCCCCTTAGCTCCGGAACAAACCTTGTCGCAAACCTTTGTACTTTCTCTAGTTTCTTGACGTGCTTTATCAAGTGCGGGTTCCAAACAGGTGCTGCATACTCCAGTAGGGCCTGACATACACGGTGTACAGTGTCTTGAATGATTCCTTACTAAGGTATCGGAATGCTGTTCTCAGGTTTGCCAGGCGCCCATATGCTGCAGCAGTTATCTGATTGATGTGTGCTTCCGGAGACATGCTCGGTGTTATACTCACCCCAAGATCTTTCCTCCTTGAGTGAGGTTTGCAGTCTTTGGCCCTAGCCTATACTCTTTCTGTGGTCTTCTGTGCCCCTCCCCATTTCTGTGTGTGTGTGTGTGTGTGTGTGTGTGTGTTGTGTTGTTGTGGTGGGGTGTGTGTGTGTGTGTGTTGGGGGTGTGTGTGTGGTGTATTTATATGTATATATATATATATATATATATATAATATTTATATATATATAATATATATATATAAAAATATATATATAATTGTGTGTGTGTGTGTGTGTGTGTGTGTGCCGAATAGGTAGAACTGGTCAATTAGCAGGAACTCGTTTAAAATTAGGTCCTTTCTAAAATATTCTCTTATACGTTTAAAGATATATTTTTTCATTTATGTTAATGTAAAAAATAATTTTGTACCAAAAGAACCTCAGAAAAACTTACCTAATCTTATAACTAGCGCAGTTTAATTTAGCCTAATCCAGCTAAATATATTGTAGATAAGTTTACAATGATTTAATAAACAAACACAATATTTTTTTTTCGCTAGGTTCAGAATGATTTTTTGCGAAATTATTGCATACACAAATTTTTGCTTGCCTTATTCGGCAAGAAGCTTTGCTATTTAAACGTGTGTGTGTATATATATATATATATATATATATATATATATATATATATATATATATATATATATAATATATATATAATATATATAATATATATATAATATATATATACATACATATACATATATACATATACATGTTTTAGATTTGTTTACAATAATTTAATACTAAACAAACACAATGAAATATATTTTTTTCGTTAGGTTCAGAATGATTTTGGCGAAATTATTGCATACACAAATTTTCACTTGTCCTATATGGCAAGATGAACGTTGTTATTTAAGCCAAGATCGCAAGTTCTGCTTATTCGACACACACACACACACACACACACACACACACACACACACACACACACACACACACACACACACACACACACACACACACACACACACACACACACACACACACACACACACATATATATAATTTATTTATACATACACGTGTATATCCCTCGTGTCCGTCTCACTCTACAAAAGTGCAGCGCACATAAAGGGCCCCAAGATGTGGAATTCATTTCATTGTCCGAACCAGCAGAAGGTTCCCTGTCTTCCAATCAGTTTAAGGTTATATTTAAAAATCATCTCGTCTCTCAAACTTGAGTATGCCAACACTATATTATGCTTGAAATCGTAGAACCAGTTTGAAACTAAAGACATTCCAGTTAAAATCACTAATTCACTTAAAATTGTGGTAATTATATTATTTTATTGCTGCCTCTGCTGTAAATTTTATTAATTATAATTTTTTTTACCTTTTAATGTATAATTAAAATTTACCCTTCCATGACTTTTCTAGTTTTAAGTAATCTGTAAGCATTAGGATTAGTCCTCCCGAAATGCACATGCATACTGGTGGCTTTCTTTGTGCTTAACAATATTTTATTACATATAAACTACACATTGTGTACTACGCAAAGACTTTTTTAGTTGTTGTTGTTGTTATTGTTGTAGCACATACAGCTTCCTGAGTGCTATTACCCATTTCTGCTTGTGGAGGAGTCGAGCTCCAGCTCTTGCTTCCGCCTCAGACCTTTTTAACAGACTAATATGAAATAGTCCTGTCGTATGTATTACTGATCCCTGTATGGAATCATCCAGTGGCAGTGTTCAGGTTATTCCACTGTTTTATAACTCGTAAGTTGGAGAGAAGGCTTTCTGATATCCCTGTGGTTCATGCGGGTGTGTAATTTCAAACCCTAACACCTTGCATCCCAGGTAAAGAATCAATCCTCTGTCCTGTCTGCCTTCCAATATTTTATATGTTGTGAACACATTCTTTGTCGTCTTTCCTTTAGTGACACAAGGACTAGGGATAGTCTTAGAGCTATTTCATCGGCCCGATTCTTCAAGGTGTCAGGTTCCATCAGTAGCCTCTTCACTTCCTCTTAGTCGTTTGTCCTCCCTTCCAACATTGCTTCTGGCCATTCTAAATTTGTGAACACGCCGTTATATTACGTTAAGCTCATTGCACACTTAACTGATTTTTTTGTGTTGTCACCTAATCCTCTGTTGTCATTTTTTTCTGATGTGACTGAAACAGCCTGGGTTCTGACTCTGAAGTCTTTATGTAAAATTCCATTTTTTTTCTTGTTCATTCATCACACAAAATTATTCTAGTTCTTCTGCTGGCTAGAATGCTTCGCAATACCGTGGCTACAACAACTCTGTCTTCACTCTGGAGAGGAAACTTTAGGCAACGTTTCTGCCCATTCTGGTTCATTATGAAATGAACAATGTTTATTCCCCGACGTTTACTTGGTTCTGCAATTTCTCGGAGTTATTTTCCTGACTTTTGCTTTCATGGTGGTGGTTGAACTAAGGGGGATTCCCAGCTTCTAGTGTTCCCCTGCGGGTTAGTACGAATGTTTATCTGCTTCACGTACATACATCCGGTTGAAATTTCTTAGGTACTATCCTGTACTTATGAAATTTTTCATTCTTTCACTGTGTGCATGAAAAATTTCTACCGCCTACAGTGGTTGACTTCATGTAGTTCAGTACACTGGTTGATTGTAGTGGAAATTAGGATAAAAATAAAACGGGCGCGATACATCTGGCGAAAATGACCAGGAAACGTTGAAATGTGAAAGATTGTGAGTTGGGTTGCAAGACTGTGCTGTGTGATGGAGGGTAGTGTCTACATTGCTGTGATCAGTGTTCCCCCTCATTGATATCTGTGAACACCAGTAACTTCTCTTAAGATGTGCACACACGCCTTTCCCCGAATGCAATTCCTCTGCACCTTCATGATATAACCCCTTTCTTACTTTAACCCGCATAATGTATTCTTCTTTTCTATGGTTGCGAGGGTCAAGTCTCCGCTCCTGGTCCTTTCCTCTGTGACTGAGGTCTCTGAATCCTAAGCAGCGACCCGCAGGTCTCTGTATACTGCTAGGTGAATACAGCGGGTATAAGGTGATTGACGTGTACTTTCCAAACTGGGAATGAAACCCAAATTTTGTTCTGTTGAAAGCTGAACACTACCACCGAGCTACGGGACGCCAGAGTTTAGCTCCCCCCCCCCCCTTCCTGTTTGTGCTTTCATCGCTTGTGCTCACTCATTACTGCTTGTGCTCACCCACTATTGCTTGTTTCCTCACCCATTATTGCTGGAGGTCGCCTTACTATTATTGGTATAGGGGTTCCCTCGCCATAATTGCCTGGTGTCTCCCATGATCACCTGTACTCGCTACTGCTTGTTGCAGTCATTACTTGTCTGAAAAAACGAATCTTATTGTGGCTAGCTGGTCCAGTAGCTAACGCGACGGTCTGGAGTTTTGAGACACACTGATCGCGGGTTCTATTCCTACCCGTGGTATGGTTTGTTTGCAATCGTGTCATTACGATTTCGTGAGTCATTACTTGTCTGTCGTGACTTACTGTGTCCAGGAAGTTTGATAATACTATAAACGCGATATGATAAATATGAGTTTTTCAGATCTGAAACCTGATTATACAGCAAGCAGTATATAAAAAAGATAAGAGATGTAGAGATACAAGGATATGGGTTCCGAGATACCATGTGCTTGCTGTGCAAAATTTTGATTGGTGTTACAAACAATATTTAGATATTGTTAATTTGTAAGATATCAGTGGGTGGTTAAAATTACTTGGCCAGAACAGCGCATGTTGGCCGAGATGTTGCTTTTTGGCCAAAAAAAAAAAGCTTGGTTTTCATATATCGCTTAACCAGAACGCTTTTTCAAAACAGCTTGTGGAAAGACTATTGCTTGGTGACTAGGACAGTGAAGAATAAGTCTCATTACCGTGAATAGAACATTTAATAACTTACCCCAAAAAATAAAGATATAACTAGATGACATTTCAGTCCATTCTGTGATTTGGTAAGGGTCCAGGACGTATTGAAACAGGCGCTAGTTTTATCGGCAACTTATGGGTTAGTTACGAATTTGCCAGAAGAGTTGGTTATCCAATGATCGCTGAGAGCAAGAAACATGGCTTGGTAGCTACGATACGCCTTGGTGTAGAGAATGTGGCTTGGTGGCCATATCATTGCTTTGTTGCTACACTGCTTGGAGATTGGAGCATCCTTTGCTATCTGCAGCAACATTTGGCTCAAACCTTCCTTAAATGTGATTTATTGAGACAGATGATCTCGTCATCCATTTCAGAAGCATACCCAGAGGAGATCGTCCCCTTTGGTCAATTGATCTCGCTGCCCAGTGAACAGAGGGAAGCAGCCTAAACCCCCTCACAAGTGGTCCATTTAGCTCTACAATTAATCTTGTATAGATTCCTGCAGTTTATCAACTATATTTCTGCAAGTGATCCACTCAGTCCTAAAACCGAAAGTCACCTGAAGTGCATGAAAGTGATTTCATCAGGAAGATCAGACGTCTTGTGTTACCCCTGGCATCGGCATTATGGAAGGGCTGGATCATATTGGGGACGTTAAAGGTAGATTATAACTTTTTTCTCAAATGTTATGGTTAATCTAATTTAAATTTAACTTTTATAAATGTGTAACAATTATATTGCATTAAAGAACAGTATTTCAAGAATATAAAAGGTCAAAAAAGAAAAGCAGATACCAAAAAATTTGAAGGCTTAGCTGAAAGGTTAATGTTGGGTAAATGGACACAGATGCAACTAATGTGACATTTTGAAGATTGAGACACTTATGCAGCATATGGGAATCTTTATTTCCTGAATAAAGATTCCCATATGCTGCATAAGTGTCTCAATCCTGAATAAAGATTCCCATATGCTGCATAAGTGTCTCAATCTTCAACTTGTCGGTTTTTCAAACCATTCATCACAATGTGACATTTTATTGTGGTAACGTTTCACTCCTGGAGTTTTGTCAAGCTTGACGTTGGTAGCATTCTGTGTCCATTTACCAAACATTTTGTTGGTAATTCTACCATTATTACAGAAAGATTAATGACTAATTGTGGTTAATTTATGTCGCAAGCCCAGTAAGTCTTAGTGACAGTGGAGGAACTCAGCAGTGTGTGGTTCATTGTATACATTAAAGAGGACAATAAGAAGTCATAATTTATTCTAATCTACATAAGTCTGACTGCAACCACATGATTGTACAGGAAACCACTGAAAGCTGCTGGGCAGCCTATGTATAGTACTGATAAAGTAGCTTATGTTATTCATAAGTTTTCAACCTGTAGGCGTCACGCAATGGCTGGGGAATGGGAAGGTAGCTCCAGTTCCTTGGATCAAGATTCCTTCACCAGTATCAAGGCAAAACTTGAAGGAAGTTATCATTGAGATGTACATACTGGTTTAAGGGACCAGCGATACCTTGCTTCGTCAAACGGCAACCAAATTAATGTATATCTAGTTAGTGTACATGCTTAGTTTTGTACAGTATAGCATGATTGACTATTAATCCCTCTGACACTGCAACAGTGATGAACATAGCATGAGCATAACCTCTTTTCATTCTTATTGGTTAATGCAAAGCAGGCCAAGATTCTTGTCACTATCTTTTTACCTATTTAAAGCGACAGGTGCAGAGCAGTGATCATGGTGTTTCCTCTTCAGTTTGCTCTATACGTATGTATGTGTATACGTGTATGTATATATGCATACATGTATATATGTATATGTATACATGTATGTATATGTATACATGTATGTATATGTATACATGTATGTATATGTATACATGTATGTATATGTATACATGTATATGTATACATGTATGTATATGTATACATGTATATGTATACATGTATGTATATGTATACATGTATGTATATGTATACATGTATATGTATACATGTATGTATATGTATACATGTATGTATATGTATACATGTATGTATATGTATACATGTATGTATATGTATACATGTATGTATATGTATACATGTATGTATATGTATACATGTATGTTGTATACATGTATTATATGTATACATGTATATGTATACATGTATGTATATGTATACATATGTATATGTATACATGTAGATGTATATGTATTTACATGTATGTATATGTATACATGTATGTATATGTATATACATGTATATGTATACATGTATATGTATACATGTATGTATATGTATACATGTATATGTATACATGTATGTATATGTATACATTTGTATAATACAGTATCATGTTATTTTTAAACCTTTTATATAATTTTAATTTGTGTGCACTGTTGTAAAACACTCTGAAGCATACAAACTGCAAGAGCTAGTATTTCTAGTTGTGCTGATTCTATACACACACACCCATATGTTTTATTTAATTGTTTTGGTACCTGTCAGGAAGAGCTGTGTATAATACCATAAATGTAAGAGAGAGAGAGTTGTGCAGTGTGAGGTAATGTCACAAATAACCTGTGGGTTATCTGTTTTTCAGGCACGGTATTGTGCCTTTTTGTTCTTTGAGGTAATGTCGTTAAAGTTTTGCCTACCTGGTGGGTTTAATCAATCAAATAGATTATATACTGTACTGCCTGTTACTTCCAGGAATATCTAAGACCCTTGATGAAGTGCAAGATGCTAGACTTGTCAAAAAAGAGGATTTAAACGTCATTTTTTTTTTAAATCTGCAGTTGTCTGAACAATAGTTGTATAAAATCAGGGGAGCTTAAATATCTTCATTGTTAAATTGAATTTAGGTCATCAAGACACATTTGTCAGGTAGCATTATTAACCCTTTCAGGGTCCACAGGCCTTCTCAGGGTCCCCCAAATTTCAAAAAAAAAAAAAAAACTTTCATATGAAAAGATAGAGAATCTTTTCCCAATCATAATGACACCAAAAGTTTGAAGTTTGATAGAAAACTTAGGGAATTATGCTCTCGCGAAGTTAGTGAGTCTCGACGATGTTTACGCATCGGCGATTTTGCCCGCTTTGAGCCCAATTTTCGGCCAATTCCAATGTACTAGTCGACAAAAATCATAACTATTTCGCTAGAACTCCATTTTTTCTATCGAATGAGTACAAGAAACCACCCATTTACCGATTTCAACTATCCAATACAGTGGTCAGAATTTAGCAATTTTGCCAATTTCACACAAATTTCAAAAGATGCCAATTTCCAAATAGGATCTAGAATAAACAAAGACATTCCTGGCACTAAAATAACATTTCCTCTGTTCATTAGTCACGTCCCCACGCCTCTCTTACGTTCTTTTGCTTTCCATTTTGAATTGTTGTTCTCACAAAAAATAGAAGATTTACTGTTATGCAGACTACTGCATTAGTTTAGAAATGGTATAAATAATATCAGCGCACTTGTGAAAGAATATTAGACTCGCCAGTTGACGTGTATTGGACGCTTAGCATGATTTGTTTACTTTTGAACTTTGGTAAAAATCGAACATTTCTGCTACTTTGAACTCAATTTCAAGGTACTTTTCATTGTAAAACCAGTCAGAATCATCTCAATTTCTGTAATATGTCTTCCATTCTATAAAATGAGACCAGGAAAATTAGAATACAACAATAAATACCATACGAAAATACAGTGCAAAGTCTGTTTTAATCCAAAAACACGGTCAGTTTTTTTTTTCTCATTACGCACTGTGTGCTGCAGGATTTTTTTTATACTGCGCACACTAACCACATAGACCCATTCTTTCATATGTAGGCATACCAGCTTTCTCTCACTAGATTTGAAGGCACTAGAATTTGAGTATGTACTAATACGTCAAGGACCCTGGCGCGTAAGCCGTACTAGTACGGCCGAAACCCTGAAAGGGTTAACCAGTTAATACTTTCTCATATCTAGTTATTTGGCCAGTTACAAATTGATTGTGGAATTTAGTAAAAAATATAGGTTGTACGTACGTGAGTTTTGGTAAAGCTATAAATCTACTATAATAGCAGCTTTGTAGCAAAAATATTGCATAGTTATTCAGAATTGGAACTAATATTCTGGAGGGTTAGTATTACAGTTATTTAAGTAATGGTGATTATTAAACAGAAAACTAACATTATACTAAATGTAATTTCAAATTACTACATAATGTTTATGCATATACTACTCTATTGTTAACTTTTTTTATGCATTACATAAATAACTTAAAAGATGAATAATGCCATGTATAACTTACACTTTTATACGACTTCTGTCCAACTTTTGTAGAAAATCAAATAAAATTTAACTGCAATCCAACACTACATAACTTGGATAATGAACAGCATTACATGTGCAATATTCATTGATTTGTGTTCCTTTGGTAAAGATGCTAAATCGTTAAAATAGATAAAATAAGTAATTCATAACTAGTGAAACCTCGATATAACAGACTAATGGAGGGAAAGGGGATGTCGTTTATAAAAAAAAAAAAAAATTGTATAAAAAATCTAGATGAAGTGAACATGGTTCATTGTGTGTTGAGCCTACTGGACAGGGATATACAGACACTACTACTAACAGACACAAGCTTGTTGCAGTAGACTTGTACTGTTGTATGGGAAGCCTACTGGAGACACTATCACCAACAAAATTTTGATGCAGCAGACATTAGTCAGTGATTATAACATGATACTGCCATATAAGCTATAGGGCAAGAGTCGGAATGTTTAAAAGGAAAATTGTATAAAAATCTAATGAAGTGAACATGGTTCATTTAAGCCTTGGAGGATTTCGGACATATGGGTATGTTCTCAATCTTCAGTATGCGTGAGACAGCCACTTGACACATATCACCAATCTTGTGTTTCAGATGTCCAACTGCTTAGCAAGACCAAAAGGGTAAACTAGCATATTCAGGAAATAGAATCTGAGATCTGGGGAATGACTGCAAATGTAACATTGCAAGCAGAACTGTAGTGGGTAATATCGGGCAAGGGATATGAAGTAACCCTGTACTCAAGAGGAAAATTGACAACTAGACGCATGAAAAAAACCAAAGGAGGGTTAGCAAAAATCAGAAGATTAATGAGATTGACAACAAAGATTATTGAGAAAGCTAAACTCAAGATTGAGGAGGTAGACCAAAAAAGGAATTTAAAGCACATAAACAAAATAAAAATTGAACAGATAAACGTTAGAGACAATCAAAGAAGTAGAACAAAGTGAAGGACTGAGAACAGGAGCCAAAGGAGGAAATTGAAAAGGATAAACGTAAAGAAGAAACAAAAATATGAATAAAGTAAACCAAGGTTGAACAGTAGACAAAGGGGATTTGAAGAAATAAAAAAATAAAATATTGAAAAAGTTGGAATACAATACAAATAGACAAGACGGACAAGGAATGAAAGGAAACTTTGAAAGAAGAAACGAAAAAATAAAACAATAAGAGACAAAGAAAAATAACCATATAAAAATACCTATTCATGAAACCACAGAACGAGGGTAAATAGAAGCCAGCAGAAATGCAAAAAAGATAGGAAAAACAAAAATCAGAAGTTATGATAATAAGAACTAAATAAGAAGCCAAGCAAAAATTCCATATATAGTGTGAACCAAACAGGAACAATGGCAGATGCTGACAAAACCAAGTAGATTTGTAGTAATACTAAGTATTTTTATAGGATTGTATACCATACTTGATTACATATTAGTTTTTTCTTAGCCTTATTGTATCTAATTATATTTTTCTAGGCTTATACAGTATTGATTCATTAAGTTTTTAGCCTGGATGAATTTTTCAATTTAAATCATGAGTGGGTAAGTTTGAACTTGGGGAAGGAAGGCTAGGTGAAGGAATATTTTGAGGAATTTTAAATGTATTAAGTAAGAGATGGTAATTTCATGCATGTCGGTAGAGGCATAAATTTTTGAGGATTTAAGTAGTAGGATGTGAATGTGGGGGAGGTGCATGAGCATGATGGATGAAATGGGGTATAGAGAGAATTGATGGGATCATGACAAATGTTGAAAAGCAGGGGGGATTTACTGAAAGAGGTTACGGGGGCAACGCCCCGCGGCGTCTGTGACAGCCTCCAAGAGGGGGGGTGGTTAGTATTTTTGTTTAATAAATGTATGAAAGATGGGAAGGTACCTAGGGATTGGCAAAGAGCATGTATTGTTCCTTTATATAAAGGGAAGGGGGACAAAAGAGATTGTAAAAATTTTAAGGGAATAAGTTTACTGAGTATACCAGGTAAATTGTACGGTAGGGTTATTATTGAAAGAATTAGAAGTAAGACAGAGTAGGATTGCAGATGAGCAAGGAGGCTTTAGAGTAGATAGGGGATGTGTAGATCAAGTGTTTACATTGAAGCATATATATGAACATTATTTAAATAAAGGTAGGGAAGTTTTCATTACATTTATGGATTTAGAAAAGTTATATGATAGTGGATAGGGGAGAAATGTGGCAGATGTTGCAAGTATATGGAATGTAGTAAGTTACTAAATGCTGTAAAGAGATTTTGAGGATCGCGAGGTTCAGGTTAGGGTATGTAGGTGAAAGGGAGATTACTTAATGGTGAAAGTAGGTCTTAGACAGGTATACAATACCTGTCGGTATTGTATACCATTTTGATGTTCAGTATATTTATAGATGAGATGGTAAAAGAAGTAAAT